ATTTTGCTGAATAAATTATTGTTATTATCAGTACTATTTTTTCTTGGGTGACATTTCTAAAAGTATATCTCAGAAAGTATATGATGATATTAGAAAACAATAAAATATTAACTCTATAAAAAATAAGTCAAATAAGAAGGAAAAAATCAAATCTAGAACAGCGTTTTATTTAATTAACTATCACGTAATCCACTGATAGTAAGTTAAAAATTGAACCTGTCTAAAAATATCAGTTTAATAGTATTGATTGAATGATTTATTAAGAAATGGTTTACTGGTACGTTTCGGTCATAATTATGTAATTATTATAACAAATATTGAATAAAACGTTATTTGTAATGTTATAAATTAAATTATAATGCATAATTGTCAGCCAATTAGAGATCTAGATGAATGGAATATACAGGGTGTAACTTAACAACTTCGGGAGCGTGTAGAAAAAGTGAAAATAAATTGACATTATACAGGGTGTCCCACCGGGAACTGCGTCGACCGATATCTAGAGAAGTACTGCTCTGAAAAATTTGAAAATATGGCAACGTAAATAAAATATCTAGAACTCTTCAGCACCTCTGGTTATATCGGATGTCGACACCAACTTCGTTATTTTAAATGGCACACCCTATATATTATTATATTTTAGGATTCTACGTTAAATTTGGAGGTCACTTTATTAAAAATTCGATACCTAGAAGTTCTAGATTTTTAGATATTAATTTTTTAACAAAATATTTAACAGATGCAAGGATCCGCAAAGATGCTAGTAACTCTTTTTACGAGCCTGATATCAAGCGGATTTTTCGTACCTGTAAAGGGCATAGAAAACGGTAAATTATGGTATACCAACAAATTAAGGCATTAATACTAGATGTTTCATTTTTGCTGTTACATTTTGACATCTTCAAACAGTTATAACTTTTTTAACTTAAATGGAACACCCTGCATTTTTTTACTCTGTCGTATGCAGATTGAAATTTCCTTTCAAGCCGTATTAACATTGTTAGGGATACCATTACTGTTTTTAGAAATATTTGCAATTTTCTATTTTTTGGACAATTTTTCTCGTAGCAGACCTGTTATCAAATTGGCCATGATCAGAAACACTCCAAAACAATTAAAATAACTGATATTTGGCAAGTTAGTTGTCAAATTATTGTTATGTCTGTAATATGTAGTTTTAGCTGAAAATTTAAATAAAAATGGTCGAAGATCGTTTAAATTATACTTATGAGGATTATTTTCATTTGTTTGTTATTCATGGAAAAAAGCACCAGATTCTCTACAATGCACTACATGTTCTTGAAATTACTTTGTCACATTTTCCATTGATTGACGCAGTTCCCGGTGGGACACCTTGTATAAAAGCGTCAACCATTTCCGAGATACGGAGTGTTTAAGTTGCACCTCGATAAAAATATTTCAAAAAACTTACTTGTTCACTAGGTTATTCTTAATCTTAGTAAGTTTACGCTTGTTTGCAAGAATATGATACATGATGTAATTTTTTTAAGATCTCAATCCTCCCATTAACATTTTTTATACTTTAAGTTTTGTCTTAATTTTTATGTTAGGATAGGTACATGTTACACTCAAATAAATCAAATCATATATCAACTAAAAAGTCATTGACTTAAACCGTTTTAAAGTTATCTGGAAAAATACTTGAACATTCTATATCTCGGAAACAGTTGAGTTTTCGACATACGTTTATAAAACAAGGTCAATCTATTTTTACTTGTTCTACCTGCTTCCAAAGTTATCAAGATAAAGACTGTTACACCCTGTGTACTTTTCAGTTAGCTCTAATACACATTATTTTTTTAAATAATGTGTACTTAATCAAATGAAGAAATAAGTCAACACTTTTATATACTAAATATATTAATAACAACTAATACTATAAAAAACAATGTAATAACTAAACGAACATATACTAGAACCGTTTTAAGATTGCCATTACGTCACGAGTGTGTCGTAATATCAAAGACAATCGTTGTGAGCGTGATTCATTATTTGTTAAACGCACATTAAAGATATATGATGGTGCTCTGTGGATATGATGGTATAAATGTCTTTATAGCCTTAATCTATCACAGACAATCGTTGGAGTATTTTATTTGTATTAGAGTGTTGAGTATTAGTTTTAGACTGTAGTTTGAGTACCGCAGTTAGCAAAACATTCAGATAAAAAATTTGACAGCTGCTTTGATCGCGTCTCCGCGATTTTGAGGTTATATGTAGAATTAACTATGAACTCCAAATAGTTTATTATATTATTGTAATAAATATTTCCTTAATAGATTTTTAATGAATAAATTCATTTTTTATTAAAAATGTACGAGAAATTATTTCCGTTTATTTTATTCAAAAAGGTACATAAATGTAACGATATAGGCAACCAGTATTAAAATTTAGGAGATATCAAAATTTGGGAATTGTCAAGAAGGCATTTCAATTATATGAAAACGGTGACTAATTTGACTAGGATTTTTGTCTTAGTTCATACGAATATTGCTTGTGACGCATTGAAAAAGATACAGCGGTTTTAGTTTATGCTATCAATGACGGTGCCCTGGTTACTCCAGTGTACAACACCGACGTAGCTTGTACCACCCTCACCACCCTTTTCCCCATGCTTTCCGTGATACGGGGGGTGCTTAGCATGCCCCATTCTTTCCACGGTGGCCTCAAATCCGGTGTGGGAGCCAGACACCCACGACGTTCTTCCCATCCCTGTGCTCCTTCTGTGCTTGGAAGTCGTGGATGTGGGGATCTAGGATGTCGTACTGAAATTGGTCACCAACGTGATCCTATGAAGTATAATTAAAATTTAGTGCGAAGTGTAATTTTCGTCCGTACAAATAACCACTCTGAGCTTGACCTAGTTACTGCATTGTAAACAGTAGATCTGTTGATTAGATGGGACGATTCAAGGACGGCTTCAGTTTCGCGTAAAATTCTTGATTCATTTTTTGGATCACATGACATTTTAGACCACCGATTAGTTAATGACAATTATATATTAAAGATATATTTTTAATACTTATTTTTCCAATATTTCAGAGCGTCTTTTGAGTGAGCTCTCACTTCCCAACAAGTTACCTTCCGAGTTTTTGACTGCCCCGAGATCACAAACGACTTTTAAATTCAGAGAGTTGTCTTTTAATGAAGGAAGAACTATTTTAAATAAGTTAAAAGTAAAAAAAGCAAAGATGCTTACGATTTGAATGTTCCAATCATGGAAACTCTTAAAAAGATTATAATTTTTCCACTATTTAAAGTAATTAATCAATGTATTAGCTCCAACGTATTTCCTACAGCTTTCAAGTTATCCAAGGTTATTCCTGTTTTTAAGAAAGGTGAGAAAGATGATGTATCTAATTACCGACCAATATCTCTTGTTCCCATTCTGGCAAAGGTTTTCGAAACTGCCTTAAAAATGCAAATTGCAGAGTATTTTGAAAACAATAATATGTTCCATTCTAGTCAATACGGTTTTCGGAACAAAAGGTTAACAACTTTAGATATTAACCAGTTGTCTATGATTATTTTAAACAATTTCGAATCAAACAATGTTGCTAGTGGAAATTTTTACGATTTGACTAAGGCATTTGACTGTGTGTCCCACAGAATCCTTTTAAATAAACTAAAATTTTAAAATTTTGATGACAATAGCGTGCCCTTTATTGAGTTTTATCTATCGAACAGAACTCAGTATGTTTTTTATAATTCTTGTTCTTCACACTTAACAAAAATAGTTCATGGAGTTCCCCAAGGCTCAATATTGGGCCCTATTCTATTTCTTATCTATATCAACGATTTCCCAAATTGTGATATAACTACTGATTTTATTTTATTTGCTACCGCTTTAAAGTCAAATAATAACTTAATTAAACTCACAGAGGATTCAGTGGATACGCTGCCGCTGATAAAGGACTGATTTATTGCTAATATTGCTTAAATGTTGACAAAACTCCGTCTTTGCTTTTTACACTTAGCCATATCAATACTTATGATAACTCAAATTGCATTAAATTTCTTGGAGTTAACCTTGACACTAAATTGAGTTGGGAAAAACATGTCAATGATTTATCCACACGTTTATCTAAGAATATTTTCCTACTGCGTAATTTGGATCGTGCAGTATCTAAGTCTGTACTCATATCTGCATATTATGGTCCTTTTCATGCTACCGTGACATGCAATTTTGACCTGGGGTCATTCGTCTCACAGTGACATAATTTTTGGTTTACAACGTAAATGTATTAGAATTATGGCTGGAATAAAATACAGAGATGATTGTCGGGAGCACTTCAAACTGCTAAATATTCTTACAATGTCGTCAGTTTATATACTTGAATGTCTCATTTATATAAAAAATAATCAGAATATAGATTTGTACGACAAGAAAATTTTCATTTCCATCATACAAGAGAGCGACACAATATTAGGCCAAAATTTCCATCCATCTGAGATTCGATCACTAAATTCAGACTGTTTTAAGGCCAGCATTAGAAAATATCTTAAGAGAAAAGCGTTTTACAATTTTGGTTAGTTCCTTGCTGACCAGTTTTTAGATACATAATGTATGTTCGTAATATTCACTTTTTTATGCTGTTTACGTTATATTTATCTGAATGTGTTTTTTTAGCTTTAGTGTAGTATTGCTTATAATATTATGTTGTATCTTTCGCGTTTTTCTTTCTTTGATTACATTTTAATATTTAGACACCGATAAATGATTTGATTTAATTTGATTTATATCATTATTAGAAGAAAGTTAGGTTAGAAATATATACATATTTCAGCATGATCCTAACACCTTTTCATGGTTTACAGGGTTGAACACAGAGAGTAATATTAATTTGATTTCGTATAACAGAGTCAAATAATTAAATGCTCTTAGAGTATTAAACTATTATTATTACTATTACTAACAAATACAACATTTGGAATAAAAAAACTTAATAACAACAAAGCATTTGAATATCATCCACCTATCAATGACCGTGGCTTTCACCCTGATTGCTCCAGTGGGTGATTCCAACATAACTAGTTCCACCTACACCTCCTTTTTCTCCATGGCCATGCTTTCCGTAGTGTGCAGGATGTTGGGCATGTCCCTTCCTTTCCACGATGGCTTCAAATCCGGTGTGTGGGCCAGACACGTACTTGACGATACGCTGGGTGCCGTCAGGTTCGTGCAAAGTGTATTCACCCACTACGTTCTTTCCCTCCCTGTGTTCTGTTTGAGAGTGAACGTCATGGGTGTGAGGATCTTGGACACCGTATTCAAATTTATAAGCTGCGTGATCCTACGAAGAAGATATTTAAGTACATAGAATAGGTAATAAAGGTGAATAGACTTACGTCATGCTGAACGTGATGGTTTTGAGGTACTGCTACTGCCACAATGGCGGAAAAGGCGAGGAATATCTACCAAAGAAATGTACGTTTGTAATAAATTTTAAAATGATGAAAAATCTTGAATTTCAGGTTAATTATAGCTACTTACAATTTTATTTTGCATGGTTACGTATGTGTTTGTTGTTAGCTTGATGTTTTTTGGATAACTGATACAAATTTGTCAAATGTACCGCATTATATACATGGAAGAAGTTATGCAATTTTTTAATGAAATAATAGAACTTGAATTATTATTCAAATTGATTTCCAATCTGTTTAGTTGACACATATCTAGGTACATACATATTATATAAATACATTCACCAAATTTTGAAATGAATAATAATAAGTATTACAGCAGTCATACACTCTCTAATTAAGTTCCGCAAAGATAAAAAATGGTGTATTTTAATATGTTAGAAGTTTAAAAAAGTCTTCTTATTCTCTTTTGTTAACACGCTAATTATAATTTTTTAAATTATACAGGGTGGACAAATGAAAACGAAACCGAGCCATTTTCAGGAACTGCGTCAAGATTGTAAAAAACGCTCGGACCCGTCGATTTTAGATTAAAGGGGGACATTCTTTGCTGGTATTTTTGACTCCGCCACTTTCACCCCCAAGCAAGGGTAAGCATCATCCCAAAATATTTAAATGGCATTGGGGGTTGAGTAATATTTCTTTTGAAAAATCTTACAATTCTCTTTACAACAGACTTTAAATTTTATAATTTCCCCTAATACTTTGAAAAAAAATTACATTTTAAAATTTAAATTATGTTTAGTTGCTTACTTACTACTTAGTTGATTAAATGTTCAAACTGATGACCGTCCGCTTCCATACAAGAATAAAGAGTTTGTTCGAAACGTTCGCGCACATTCCGAAGCATTTCCGGAGTGATTCGACGGCATTCGTCGAGATTTATTTGACGCATATCTTCCAGCGACGCAGGCTGTGTTTTATAGATTTTACTTTTTAGGTATCCCCACAAAAAGAAATCAAGAGGCGATAAATCCGGGGATCGTAGAGGCCACTCAATGCTGCCTCTTCTCCCAATCCAATTCCGTAGAAAACGTTGGTCTAAATACTGATTGACAATTAACGCATAATGCGGAGCAGCACCGTCCTGTTGAAACATCAAATTATCTTCATCATACTCTGAAACATTTTCAATAATATCAATCAAGGCAGGGTCAATAGCGTCTTCCAGTAATTGAAAATACATTTGGCCAGTCAAATTAACAGGTAGAAAAAAAGACCCATCAGCCGGTCACCGAAAATTCCAGCCCATACATTTAATTTTTCCGGTTGCTGTGTATGTACCTCGTGAAAAACTCTTGGGTTTGAATCGGACCAATAGCGGCAATTTTGACGATTTACCGTCCCGTTCAAGACAAAACTGCATTCATCAGAAAAACAGATGTTAAAAAGGAACTATGGATCATTCCCTGCTCGCTCACTCATTATTTCGCAAAATTACAAACGGCGGTCATAATCATCCTCATGAAGTTCCTGGACTAAATGTATTTTGTATGGATGGAGTTTATTCTTCTTTAAAATGGTTTGTATGCTAGTTCGATTGATCCCAGACACAGATGCCAGCTGCCTCGTACTTAATGTAGGATCAAGATGAACTTCTCCCAAAAAATTTATTATGGTGAAAAATACACCTGCTTTAAACAATTTTTATTACAATTCGTAACATCAAAATTACTAATGATATTTATTTTAAGCATGGCAACTTGATTAATTACAGAAAGAATTATCAAAAATTTGGTAAACGGTTACATTTAATGGCTTGAACAAAGAGTACATGATTTTTTCGGATATTATTTCTCTTTTCAATAATATTTAAATTTCGGTGATAGAAAAAAGTTATGAACAAAACAAATTTTGAGTTCTAGGTAAAGGTCCAATAGAGCTTCGTCTACTTAGCGGGTATGCCAAATGAGAGACTAATCGAACTTGAATTAAATAAGTTATTTAAATAGAAAATTTAAAAAAATGAACTTTGACAAGCTGTAACTTGCAAACAATTGACAATTCGAAAAAATTTTTCATTACATACTGCTATTATTTTAATCCGTAGAATCACCTCTTGGAATTTCCTGAGGGACTTTCAGAACACCCTGTATATGGAATACTTTCAATAAATGTTATATTTATTAAATAATGCATTTTTGATGCGAGTTGGTTCTGCGTACATTTATGGGTATTTACTGTATAAAATATAGATAAAAAAACGGTGCAGAAAAGTTAACTTTCCCGTATTGTTTGCTGATAGTTGCCTAGCAACGAACTAAAATACTAGAATAGACATTTCCGAACAATTTCAGAAAAATATATCTTTCGAAAACTGCCATCAATTAAATTCGTTAAATTCTTAGTTGACAGGGAGTCTTTTTTGTCACCTAGCCGCTAAATAATGTTATGTTCTAGAACGCCAAAGTCTTTTTCGTTCTAGAACATAAAACAAATGTCAAAATAATTTTTCATAATTTGTCATAGTTTGAAATTGACAGTGCCCATATTGCAGTGAGTTAAATTTATTCCAGATTCAGTGCTGTCAGTTATCGTAGCATTTAGTTTTAGGTGCTCAATGAGGCTGCTGTTAAAATTGTTTAGGTTTACTGCATTGGCAAGACCTGTAGGCTTTGCTGAAGTTCGTAAAAATTTATTTACGATTGAAATTTTATGTTGTATATAATCTTCTATACAGGGTGTCCGGAAATTCATGCAATAAAATTTGGTCATAGATTCTTAAGACAAATTGAGGGGACCTGTATTTTTTCTTTTTGCCATTTGGCCCCCTCTTTTGGAGTTACAGCCCCCTGAAATCTGCCCCTAAGAAGTCTTTTTTATATCTCAAAACCATGTTGTACGAGAATCACTAAATTTGGTACACAGGGGTTTTATGACACGTGGAATCTCACAGTGCCACGTTTTTTGGCAAGAAACCCCCTTAAGACACTTTTTCGTAGCCCCCCTTGTCTTTGGAACCAGAAAAATTTGGTCGCAAATTTGATTTTTTTTAATTATTAGTTAGCTAGAAACCCATTGAATTTAGAACTTTTTTGTCTCTTGATATTTGTTTCGAAAAATGCAATGTTTTTGAGGAAAATGGCGAATCACAATATGCATTCGATCACATTTTGACATTTTTCTCGAAGACATTGCCTTTTACGAAAAAAGTATAAAGTGACAAAAAGTTTCTAAATTTAATGGCTTTCTAGTGGACTGATAATTTTTAAGAAATTTAAATATGCGACCAATTTTTTTTGGCTCCAAAGAGAAGGGGGCTCACGAAAAATTGTCTTAAGGGGGCTCCCCTCTAAAAAACGTAAAACCATTAGATTCCACTTGTCATAAAACCCCTGTGTAGCAAATTTAGTGATTCTCGTACAACAGGGTTCTGAGATATAAAAAAAAGATTATTTATAGGGGCGGACTTCAGGGGGCTGTAACTCCGAAAGAAGGGGCCACTTGACAAAAATAAAAACTACGGGTCCCCTAAATTTGTCTTAAGAATCTGTGACCAAATTTTGTTGCATGAATTTCGGGACACCCTGTATATGTCTCCGCTGCCGAACTAGAACGCCATTCATTCTCAATGTCGTTTAATGGTGGTAATATCGGCCCCTGCGTCGGCTAACAGAGTGGTGGAAGAACGTCTAAAGCAGTGCCCTGTATAAGTTTCCGCATGAGGCAATTTGAAATAAGTTGCTATTTCTTTTGGCACATTCCTTATTTTGTTCACTCCAACCACTTGGTAAACACATTTTTCCCTGACATACTGCATACAAAATCTTCAACTTGTGAAACCACAAAACATCTTCGAGTAACAGTTTTGGAATCGGGAATTCTTATAATGACAATTGAATTTTTGTCTTCTATATCATCGATTGTTATCTTTAGTAGCTTATCTCTTCTCAAAGCTCCACAAACACCAATTATTAAAATGACCTAAGAAGTTGTACAAAATTAGTTAAATCGATCAATTTATATTAATTTGATTTAGGTACCTTTTATAGCAGAAATCTATTATCAGCTGCTTCTTGTAAAAATCTCCCAATTTCCTCTTTCGTTAGAATTCTGACCTTTTCCGGATATTTACATTGTTTTTGATACTTTTTAACATGTAATATATTGACCATAATGTAGTAGGTTAAATTTTATTAATTTTATGTTCGAAATATGCCAGTAACACCGCTTCGGACACTTTTTGAATTTTCTGCGAAATACCTACCACCCTTTGAATTCGTTGTAGGCAAACTCGTAGTGTCTCGACGATTTTTGGAGATTAATTGCGAAACAGCACTATGTGCCGCTTCCCCTGGTAAATGTTCGTCTTTCAAACACGATTCAAACGATTTCAAATATACATTAAATTATCGTATATAACACAATTGTCTTATTTTCTTGCAGTTTTCGAAAAAATTTTGATTGTATCTCGAACTAGAAATGCTTTTGCGTTCTCGAATGAATATTTTGCCTCGCTATGCTCGGTAAAATAACTCCATTCTTGAACGCAAAAGTACCATTTCGTGTTCTAGATACAAATAACTATACATATAAACGATTAATTTGACATAATAACGGAAACATATTTAAGTGTATTAATTATAATAATCTGGGGTCAAGCTGAGAACAAATTGGGAGTCAATTAAAAAATAATTTAGAATTTAGTCGTTACATAATTACCTATACTTTTACAAGTATATAAACTGAGATAATTAGAAAATATTTATCAGTTACATACGATCTTACGAGTACAACTACCACAGTAACATATTTTTCGATATGCAAAATACAATTGTAAGTTTCAATTTTAATCTGATTATTCTGAAATTCTTCCGGTTTATTTTAACAAATTGTTTTCTAATATTTGCTTTTATTTTAGGTACTTTTTGTTCTTTCTGCTGTAGTGGTAATGGTAACAGCTCAAAACCATTACGGTGCACAAAGTAAAGATGAAGTGAGTATTAATTTTCTTTCAATTGGATTTAATTTTCATTGAACCTATTAGTATCTGTGAAAGTCAAGATGTGTTTTTATAGAAAAATATAGTTGCAGGGCCATGCAGCTTATGAGTTTGCGTACGGTGTCCAAGATCCCCACACTCACGACCTACATTCCCAAAAGGAACACAGGGATGGAAAGCATGTGGTGGGCGAATACACTCTACATGAAGCTGACGGCACCCAGCGTATCGTGAAGTACGTGTCTGGCCCACACACTGGATTTGAAGCCATCGTGGAAAGGAAGGGTCATGCTCAGCACCCTGCACACTACGGAAAACATGGCCAAGGGGAAAAAGGAGGTGTAGGTGGTACCAGCTACGTAGGAATCACCCACTGGAGCAATCAGGGGGAAAGCCACGGTCATTGATGGGTGGAAGATATTCAAATGCTTTGTTTTTATTAAGTTTTCTTGTTCCAAATTTTGTGTTTGTTGGTAATATATATTTTTAAACTGAGTTTAAAAGCGATTAATTAGTTAACTTTCTTATGAGAAGTCAAAATAGATATTTTTTTTTGCCTTCTATATTCGGTTATCGATTAAGCAATAATTTTAAATTATACAGGGTGTTCATTAATGATATACGAATATTTAAGGGTTTTCTTCAATAATTACATTAATTTATTACAGACAATACAACGGGTTTTATTTTTTTTAGTCAGGACAAAAATTCAAGAGAGGTCTTATCTTTCGTACGGGGATTTCAAAAATAATTTTATTTGGGTAAAAATCATTGGCGTACCATTTTTTTTCTTTAAAAATGTCAAAGACGGTGCTCGTACGCACGCCCCTGTTAGAGCTAAAAATTATGCTCCTATTGAAAAACATGTGTCTTTATTAACTATCACTACGTACTAAATATCACTGAAATATTTCAATATATTCGAAAATATTAATTAATTTCCTTCTTTTTCTTACAATTTTAACACCCTGTATTTTCGCAACGGAACATTTTTGGACCATAGTTTATAAAGCAAACTATTATTAATTTTCCATGTAGAATCACACCCTGAATATTCGCATATTATTAAGGAACACCCTGTATAGGGCTTTCACTGAGGTCATGACCCGACCATGTTTAATTTTCCTGATTTTTTGATATTATTATGTACCCATCTAGAGTAGCTTTCATGAATTTTTTCAAATTTTTATATCAACACCTCAAGTAAGTTATGAGCATTTGAATATTTTGGGTAAAAAACTTGGCGAAATCTAAAGAATGATAAACTTTTTTTGACAAGGACCAACAATGTATTGCAGTGAATGAATGATTGTTGGGCGCCAAAGAAATTATTGTTGTGATTTTATTTTAAAATTGTGAATTTCAAGAATTTTTTTTAAAATTTTAATCCAGTCAATATTTTTGTTTCAACAGAAACATGAGATCTTATCTCAGTAGTCAATTCTAGCAGGAAGTTGTTCACACAAAAAAAAACAGAGGATCAATTTTTTTCAATTGTGCCAATATCTGGCACAATGTAAAGAAAAACCACTTTCAGTGCAATGAATGAATGTATGTTTAAAGAATATTTCCCAAAAAATCTTATATCTATACCATTCAAAACAAATCTGGCACTTGGTTAAAAATTTAAATTCCTTTTTAACAACAATGTAAGAGCTTTTTTAATTTGTACAAACAGTAGTCAGAAGTGTTTTGATGTTACTTACATATTTTTTAAAATTAAACTAATAAATCATGTAACTATGTCTTCTTAGGTCATAAAATTGTTCAATGCAGTCTTTAAACAAAAATTTTAAATTTAAATATTATAGAGCTCTTTTTTCTTTTACAATATAAAGTAATGCAATATTTATACTCAATTTTGTTGTACAATGCACTTTTAACTTATAAGTTCCTCGTTATTGTTTGATTTCATTACAGTATAAAATTAGTAATAAAGTTTAAGCAAATAAAGTTCGGTTATTTTCTGAGCAGACCCCGTATGTAAATAGTAAATATTATTGAAAATACAAAATTTGATCCAACACTTATCCAAACATTTGTATATTTATGATTTCTATAAGTCACTAGTGGGTCACTTACTAGTGACTTATGACTTATAACTCACTAATGACTTATAGGCCATATTATTCCTTTAAAACCAAAGAAATTATAGTATTGTTATATACAAGTGTTGGATAAATATTATTAGTGGTTTGTGTTCTCATAACAAGGATAGGTAGTCAATAATAAAACATAGTTCATTGGAAAACTGTGTGTATTATTTATATTCTTAACTATAATAATACTGTAACATCTAGAAATACTTATAATGATTTATAATTTACAGATAAAATTAATGATGGTAGTGTTCTTCGGGTCCTTGGTTATTCCAATGCGTGGTCCCCACATAGCTGGTGCCTCCCTGTCCCCCCTTCTCTCCGTGTTTTCCGTAATAAGCGGGATGCTGAGCGTGTCCGTTTCTCTCCACATATGCCTCGAAACCGATGTGAGGTCCGGCCCTGTACTTCACGATACGTTGTGTACCATCGGCTTCTAGCAGGGTGTATTCACCGACGACATTGTCACCTTCTCTATGTTCTTGTTGGGAGTGGACGTCGTGGGTGTGGGGATCCTTCACACCGTATTGGAAGTTGTAGCCGACGTGGTGCTGAAAAAACGAGTTTATTAGTTTTCAGGGAATGGAAATGTGAAATAATTACGTTTTCGTGTCCTGCCAAGTGATGCTGCGCAAGGGCTGTTGCTGCCATGGAAGAAATTACAAGGAGTGCCTGAAAAACAGTTAAAATTATGTAATATTTGAAGAATTGTCAGTAAAGTTTGTACACATACAAGTTTCAGCTGCATGTTGATTTGGATTTTGGAATATGCAAATTGCAAATGATACAAATGTTGAAATTTTCGCCGCTTATATACTAGTATGATATCGATGTAGGGCGTTATGTAATGGCAAGTTTAATATGGTTCCAATTAATTTCAATATCAATAACCTTGCGATATATGATTTGTATTTGGACAAATAAAATGTAATTGTCTTATTAATTCTATATTACGCACTCTTTGTAGGTACAGATAAATATAATTGGTATCCATTTCTAGGATAATTAAGGAAGAATTTAGTAATTTAATCTTGATTGTTTCAATAAAAATTAATTTATACGGCGTCAGAAAAAATGACATAATATATACGGAAAAAATATATGTATAGTATTAAAAATTTATACAACTGTCGCACCGCTGACTATAATTTATAGATAATATACGTCTAACTACAATTTATGTGGCATGTTACCAACAAAGTAATCCACTTGTATTTAAATTATTGTTAAAACTTTGCTAAATACTTTATTTTTAGATAGGATAACTCGTATGACTGTATTAAATTAGTATTAACAAAATGTGAATATATAATAGGTTTTCTACGAGTATCTCTATAGGTATATTATACCTTTTGTTACTACATCAGTGTTGAAAATTATTTTCTTTTGTATTTGTTAGAGAATAAAATTGTAGTGTTAAACTTTACTGAATGTGGCTGATGACAGAATAAGAACAAAAAATATATGGTAAATTACATTACAAGAAATTTAATGAGAGTAAGAATAGATACTAAATTAAATGAAAAATTTGCGGTTCAAGAAGAGATAAGACAAGAAGACCATCATAATCTTAATTCCTTTTTAATTCTGCTCTGGTGTATGTTATAAGGAACGCTAATTTAAATAGAAACCGCTTAGTTTATTACAAAAGGAATCACTGTCTAGCATTTGTTTTCGATTTGGTAATATAAACAAGTAGTAAGGCAGAATTATGATAATGAATGTTAGAATTAGAAGAAGCAGCGCAAGGAATAAGATTTGAACTTAATGAAGACAAAATGTAACATGGACAGAAGTAGAATTTGATAATCAAGAATGATTAAGAATAAGTACAAGAAGAGAAAGAGAATACAGGTTTGATGAAATAAAAGGTTTTACTTCCTTGGGTACGGAATTTTATAGAAAATCAAATATATTATCTAAATATAAGTATAAAGAAGAATAATGTTTGAACAGCAGTGTATAGAAAATTATGAATAACAGGAAAGTATAGCCACGGCTCTACTAAGTCTAAAGTGCTACTATACAGGGTGTTCCAGATATACCTTCAATTAGACGTTTCTGGAAAACTACGCGTACTGGAATTCTGAAAATTTATGTACGGGGGTTTCTCCTAATGTTCTACCGATTGAAAATATTGGCGTCGCCGTGGAACTTCCGGTTCTACCGGAAGTAGACGTCAACTCTCTTATTTCAAATGGAATGTACTATTTTTTATTTAATTTCTGAATTCCACATCGAATTTTAAGGTAAGTTTCATAACCTTACTTTATCCTTAAACTCAATAGTTTTTGAAATATTTTGACTTTTTCAAAATTTTTGAAAAAAACATACCTACACTTAATCGGTTCTATCTCCTCCAATTTTTAAGATAGGAAGCTGAAATTTTAGATGGTCAATACCAAAACGTGTCCAAATATCTGGAATATTCGAAAGTTGGTGCATGTTACACAGGGCGTCTAAAAAACACGGACCAATTGTGTCAAATTGAAAGTTTAATAACTCGCTTATTTTAAATAGAACACCCTGTGTTTTATAATGCCAGTAGATGCACCTGTTAATTCTCTTTCCATTGGTATAAGCATTCCCTATACCTAAATCCCACCGATTTTGAGATATTTGAACATAAGTACAGAGACGAATATAATCCGACAGTTAGCTGTAGGTTGGCTGTGGAAAAACATTTAAATGTCACCAAGTGTCATTACTTATTTAGCAGATTTGCTGTCGTTGCCGTAAAGCGAGTTTGTCGATTTTCCAAGTGTTTTCAATAACATTGGCACACTCTGGGTACACACACGACGACTTTTTAAATTTAATTATCATTTACGGGGAGTGTAATAGAATTGTTAGTAGAACATGTCGCGTGTTTGCAGAAAGATATCCAAATAAGCACAGACCAAGTCATGATATGGTCAGAAGACTATTAAAGAATTGTTCTGAGAATGGAAAGTTTCTCCCGAAACATGATAAAAGTAAGACATCAGTGGACAACGAAGAAAATGAAGTAAATGTATTGGCATTTTTCACCGCTTATCCACAGGCGTCAATTAGAGATGCATAATAAATTCACGTCTATCAATAGGAACTATTCACAGAATTCTGAAGAAGCATAAATGGAAGCCATTTTCATTTATGTTAATACACCATTTGCAACCTGACGATTTACCCCGACGTGTAGTCGTCGTGTGTGTACCCAGAGTGTGCCATTGTTATTGAAAACACTTGGAAAATCGACAAACTCGCTTTACAGCAATGACAGCAAATCTGCTAAATAAGTAATGACACTTGGTGACATTTAAATGTTTTTCCACAGCCAACCTACAGCTAACTGTCGGATTATATTCGTCTCTGTACTTATGTTCAAATATCTCAAAATCGGTGGGATTTAGGTATAGGGAATGCTTATACCAATGGAAAGAGAATTAACAGGTGCATCTACTGGCATTATAAAACACAGGGTGTTCTATTTAAAATAAGCGAGTTATTAAACTTTCAATTTGACACAATTGGTCCGTGTTTTTTAGACGCCCTGTGTAACATGCACCAACTTTCGAATATTCCAGATATTTGGACACGTTTTGGTATTGACCATCTAAAATTTCAGCTTCCTATCTTAAAAATTGGAGGAGATAGAACCGATTAAGTGTAGGTATGTTTTTTTCAAAAATTTTGAAAAAGTCAAAATATTTCAAAAACTATTGAGTTTAAGGATAAAGTAAGGTTATGAAACTTACCTTAAAATTCGATGTAGAATCCAAAAATTAAATAAAAAATAGTACATTCCATTTGAAATAAGCGAGTTGACGTCTACTTCCAGTAGAACCGGAAGTTCCACGGCGACGCCAATATTTTCAATCGGTAGAACATTAGGAGAAACCTCCGTACATAAATTTTCAGAATTCCAGTACGCGTAGTTTTCCAGAAACGTCTAATTGAAGGTGTATCTGGAACACCCTGTATACCATTTTATTTATTTCAAGAATTGTAGGGAAAATTATGAATAGTCAGATATGTGAACATTTAAACAAATATAATATTCTTCCACAACAGCAGTCTGGATTTAGACCTGGATATCGTTGCACAACGGCATTACTTAATATAGGTAGTTGATGACATTATTAGGGCTACAGATGAGGGGAAAACCACTGCTTTTGTACTTTTGGATTATTCCAAAGCATTTGATAAAATTGATCATAACTTGTTACTGCCTATTTTACATTTCATTGGATTTTCGGAGAGTGCAGTTGAACTTATGCCTAATTACCTCAATAATAGGGTTTAATTTGTAGACTAATAAAGGGGAATCGTCTCGGGATGTCGTTTCATGTAGAGTACCTCAAGGTTCTATCCTCGGGCCACTTTCATTTAGTATATATACATGTAATTTGTATAGTGGTTTACAAAATAGTAAGGTAATTAATTCAGACGATACTCAGATCTATTTATCTTTCGATTCAAAAGAAGTAACTCATGCTAATATGGCCTTAAATATTGCCATTAGTAACTTGGTTGAATTCTCTGTAAAACATCACCTTGACATAAATGGGACAAAATCTTCTGTTATGATAGGAACACCATTGAACTAGAGTTTAATCTTAAATAGTAGACACTACTAATACTAGACAAGGGGTTACGTTTTAAACCACATATTAATAAATGTATTCGAAAGGCTTATGGTAATCTGAAAATGTTATAGTCAAGTCGTCATATTCTTTCACGTAAACTTAAAATTCAACTATCGGATGCTTTGGTTCTCAGTCAATTTAATTACTGCGACGTTGTTTATGGTCCTTGTCTTGATAAAATAGAAATCATTAGAATCGAAAAGTTACAGTGTCCTCCATATTTAATTAATAAAATAAAATTTCGTACATACACTTAATTTACGTTACAGGGGACTTATCTCTTTTCATAGGCCCTCAATTTTTTGTACCTAGATGTTTTTCATATAATATTTATAAATTATATAATGCCATTCCAATAGATATTAAATTATTGAATCCTCCAGCTTTTAAAGTTAAATTCAAGGAATACATTTTTAGTTATGCATAAATTTTTACTTATATCACCTCCTATCATAGATCATAGATCCTCATTTTTTTGTAGATGTTTTTGATAATATTTATAAGTTATATAATGCCATTACAATAGGTATTAAATTATTAAGTCCTCCAACTTTTAAACTTAAATATATGGAATACATTTTTAGTCATGCTCAATGAGACAAGTGTTCACATGAATTTTTAATTTATGTATTTTTCCTCTATTTGTAGTTTCTTGTTCCTTCCAATAATAAGTCTACCTTGTAGTGCAGACAAATTTATTTATGAATATTTTAGATATTGGAGCTAAATTTTGATTTTTTTTAATTGATTTTAGCTCCATTTTACAATGTATATTAATGTAACCATTGTTTTCTTTTTATTTTGTTACTGTTTGTACTTACATTGTAAATAAACATTATTACTACGTATACAGAATCAGAGTGGTTGTTAACAACACTTATCACACCTGAATACATGACAGAAATAAAGCTAAATATTCTAACGTAATAAAAGCGTAAAAGCGACAGATGGAACAAAGAATATAGTATGTCTTCGTCAGATGTATATCAATATTTAAATTTTAAATATTTTAGTTAATATTTTCACAATGTACTATAAAGAGTAAATATAATTTGCATAATTTTTTTTGTGGATACTTCCCTTTACTTAAAAGAAAATATAGAAAATGTAAAAAGAAAAAAATTATTTCGACTCTCTACAGGTTCGCTACTAATGGAAATAGAGGTTATCTTTATTTGTTTAAGCTTCTTTCTTCAAGATAATGTTCCTCACCTTCCTACTAATAAGTTTGATTGTTTAAAAGCAGCACAACCGTTGAAAACTTTATTTTTACAATGTTTTTGCACATTTGTTCCTATTATGTAATAGTCTTCATATAAACTGACATCAACAACTCTGAATTTGATTTAACATATAAAATTAACAATTTTCAATGGTAAAGACCAAAGATTTTGAAATTTATTTTGTCATCTCGAAGATTATTTATTTAACTTGTGTGCTGCTTTTAATAAACACACTGTATATGTGTTAACTATAATAATATATTGATATCATATATTTGATTTGATAGTTTGCACATTTTGATTTATTTACTGATTATCCACATAATTAAAATTGTAATGAAACCAGTATATGGGTGTGCTTTTTGCCGTTATATTTCCTAAACGATTCTTTAAATTCTACTGTTCAATTCACAGTTAATTTCAGTTATTCAAATATATTTAATATCTATAGGAAACAGACGTGCTCTAAATTCGTAGGCAACCTTAAACTTTTTATTTATTGACCTAGAAATTGACAATATATCAATAACTCAAGTTATGTAGTCAATATAGTGTTAGTAAAAGTAAATATTAGGTACATTTTAATATATTTTACGAAATATCTAAATCGTATGTGGTAATACACTTACTATTAATGAAAAATTTAATTATTAATTTTAATAAACCCGTTGTTATATAATCCCCCACATTGATATCGCATTAGTATATAAGCAGCGAAAATATTAACATTTTTATCATTTACAATTTGAAACTAAAAAATCCAAATCAACATGCAGCTTAAACTTGTATGTGTACAAACTTTACTGACAATTCTTCAAATATTACATAATTTTAACTGTTTTTCAGGCACTCCTTGTAATTTCTTCCATGGCAGCAACAGCCCTTGCGCAGCATCACTTGGCAGGACACGAGAACGTAATTATTTCATATTTTCCATTCCCTGAAAACTATTAAACACGTTCTTTCAGCACCACGTCGGTTACAACTACCAGTACGGAGTGAAGGATCCGCACACCCACGACGTCCACTCTCAACAGGAACACAGGGAAGGTGACAATGTTGTAGGTGAATACACCCTGCTAGAAGCCGATGGCACACAACGTATTGTGAAATACAGGGCCGGACCCCACATCGGTTTCGAGGCCTACGTCGAGAGGAACGGACACGCTCAGCATCCCGCTTATTACGGTAAACACGGAGAGAAGGGAGGACAGGGAGGCACTAGCTACGTGGGGGCCACGCACTGGAATAACCAAGGGCCCGAAGAACACTACCATCATTAATTATATTTATAAATTAGTATTTAATCGTTTCAGTATTACGTAAAATATATTCATTTTTATTAAATAAATTCCGTTGTTTTATTAGATACAGAAAACTTCGAAGCAACATTTTCATATTTTATACGATTTTTACTGAAAAATTAACTCTTCTTGGCAATTTGTTGACTTAGATGGATGAGCTAGCGTAATATTAATATGAGAATTTACTGAAATAAAGTAAATCGTGGATATGCTAAATAATGAAGGTTTGGATACTCTGAAATCAGTACATTAGTATTTTTTAAGAATTATTACATCGGCTATGTACAATTATAAAAATAATAAATAAATGCCAATTGCATTTAAGGAGGTTTATCTGACTTGGAATTGACAAACAGATATTCATAAAAAAATTAATATAAGCTTATTAATATGAAGAAAATCCTCAAACAAAATTATGACTAGTTTGGATACCTAAGAGACGAGATATTAATAAAATAATTTTTCACGATTTAGTATGAAGTCTTATGAGAAAGCAGATTTTTTGGTCTTTCCACTTAGAATGCGCAACAATTGACGAACAGTTTCCACAGCAACTTGTATAAATAGGAAACCGATATCTAAGGAACCGTATGATAGCTCGTAGAAATCGATTAGGTATTTGTAAGATACATAATTTATAATAATTCTCCTTCAAACTGCTGTCGTTGACTAACTTACCCTACATATGGGTGACAGCGGCAACGCCGCGGTCTCGACGTAGCGTATTATTTGAAATTTGCAAGTGTCCAAGCAAACAAAATGATCGAACGCGAGCGAGCGAACCCCGAGACGAGCGAGCCAGCCAAGTGCAACGTTGACAAATCTAAAGGCTTACTACTTTAGTCACTAGCGAATCTACAGAAACTCTCGTTAGACTTTAGATGTACCTCCGTACCCGATAAACCTCCTTAACAGAACTGGTTTAATTAAAAAAATAATGGGCTTGATGCGTTGTATGAAAAAAGTACCAAAATCAGACTTGATTACAAAATTGTATTACAAATCTGAAGATATCTATACAATATAAATTATTCCAATTCAAAATCTAAATGGGATTTTGAAAATGTTGGTTCTGGAACTCTTTTGTTCTTCTATTTGTCAAATGGAAAGCATTTATACCAGCCATGGTATTCTGCAGGAATATTGTTGCCCTTTTTGCGCAATAAAGATAATCGGAGCAACACAATAACTCAAAGTCGTGAAAATCTGACTTTTACAGTGAAATATTCTTTAATTGCGTTTATTTTCATTGTATTATTTACAAGTAAAATGTGATTTTTTTAATATACATAACAATTTTTTAGTGTGTTGGTGATATTCCACTTCATTAGACAGAATTTTCTTCAATGAGGTGATAAATAGGACATATTAGATATCATTTTTCTTGCGTGTGTATTAAGATACCGGCAAGCGGCATATTGATTTGAGTTTATCTAGGTTTGTATGTATAATTAGTAGTATTGTGCTTAAGGCAAGTAAATTGCTATAGAAAAACCTCAAAAATATTACATTTTAAATTTAAACGTGACCTTTGTGTAAATATTTCAACTTATATGGATTTTTTTTGTCTGTATTGTTAACCATTAAACCAGTTTACTTAAGTTTGTACGATATAAAATAAATCGTTTCGTATTAGCTTTTGTAGCATTTTGAATTTTAATGCACTGTTAGGTATATGTAGTGCTAAGTCCTGTTCAGTTTAGCGAAGCCCTATCACAATTTTTCTTAATCTGAGCAAGTTAAACCATTTTTATTAGTATATTGAAGATTTCAGTTTCAATATATTTGTATTTTTTGTGATAAAAAATATTTTTTTTAAGTTGTGTTGAAAACTTATATTATTAAACAAATCTCGTAATTTGAACCTTATGATAATATTGAAAAAAAACAGCTTTTTCATTTTAACAATAAAAAGATTATAGTAAATAAATGCCCATAGTATCTAAACAAGCATATAAAATATAACAGTGTTTTGATAGTTTGTCAGTAAATTACTTAATTAAAATTTTGAACCTTGAAAATAATTGATATGTCATTGTTTTTCAAATACCTCCTTCAAAATGTTTTCTTTTAATTTAGTTTTTAAAAAATTTCCCCAGTTTCTAAAAACAAGTAATGTCAGTTTTTGCTCTTAAATTTAACAATGCAAAAGTCAAACAACGCAATAGGTGAATTTGAGATGTGTTTGTGAAAAAAAACTGCATCACTTATTTCATAAAGACATTCGTAGTATAATCAAATCGTTTCAGAGATGAATTGACATTGAATCCTAGGTACTAAATGGAAATTTTCAATATATTGTTCAGTTCAGTAAAATTCTCCTTAATTTTAAGAAATTTTGTAAAATCACCAAAAAAATTTACTCTATTAAGGAAAATATAAATATTTAACCTTTTTCTGCACTAATTTTTATAATTTCTAGATAATTTTGGAGATTTATTTTCCTGTGTACTGTATTAGACATGAAAGAGACTTTGAAAACTAAAATAATCTTGTTTTCCAGTTATATTCAGTTGGAACCTAAGTACCTACTTATCTATTTAAGTATTTATATCCATATATTTACTGCATTTATCTAAATACCTACCAACACCGATCCACATTTTCAAAATTATATAAAAAATCATGGTATCTTCCATTCTTAAATGGAAAGCCAAGTACAGCGAAAGTCATCCTGTATTTCTATCTACTTTCGCTCTCGTGTAGTTAATAGTACCTACAGTCCAGACGAAACTGACAATAATTTTTATTGTACCTGTTTAAATAATAGCATACTTACTCAACATATGAAAGCGTTTTGTTTGTATTTAGGGTGATTAACAACGCAACGAGCAGTGTGAAAATCAACCTGTAAATAAATCAATGCATGAGAGACTTCAATGATCGATGAGAAAAATAACCTACTTATATCGACAGGAAATATCGACGAAAACACCTATATATCGCATATAAATTTATATCAGCATATACTCTGGTACAATATCTTTATTCTAAAAGGAGACTTCAACGATCAGTTAGAAAAGGAACCAATTTTGGTGAAACAATGCTGTATTTGAAAAAAGTGACACTTGATAGACATTTCAATAAAAAAATTAGGTATGTTGTGAAAAGCAAATTGATTGAAATTTGTCGAGTTTGAAATGATGTCGAGTAACCCTTGTAAACTTCAAAAGTTGGTGTGAACTAAAAAATGTGTTTGATCCCAAACTGTGTTTTTTTCTTCTTATATTAACGAGAGTGCCAGTGTCAATGATTTGTAGAATGTTTGTAGTCAAGCTCCATCATTGTACATTTTGTGAATATAGATATTTAGTTGTTCATGTACTAGAAAATAAAATAAAAGTCTTTATTACGGGCACTATATCAATAGGCATACAAATATCCAGAACCAGTACCAGAAGATTCCAATGGATATGCTGTAAGCAATACAAGTTGCAACAGAATGAATTCCATATTACTTATATTATATTATTTTTATTATGAAAACCTCGGAATAGCAGGCTTAAATGAAGTCTCTAAAATAGGTATAATTTCTTTAAAAAATCTCCCTACGTACTTGTTTAAACAATAAAATACTTTACCTTGTACATATTGAAATTTACACACGTTGTTTTTAGTGACATTATTCAATTTACCAAATTTGTTTTCATACTCTCGAAAACCATATGAAACTTGAATTATTCTTAACTTAGAGGACAAATTAAATAAATAAATAACTGTGTCCCTGAATGATGGAACAAAACTCATATTTTTTTTCCAGTTCAAATTTTAAAAAATCGCTGAAACAGGCCAATTAGTATATAAAAATTGTCAGTTTTCTGCAATATTTTCTATTTTTTGAGCCATGTTTGACAGACCTATAACATTACCGACATTTTTTTTAATAGCAGCGACAGAAGGTTATACCTACTTTTTTGTCATAGTTGTCAAAAAATGGAAGAATTAAATGAAAACAATAATTTAGTGCTACTTTTTATTTTATTACAGCAAATGTTCAAAGTGCCCCCCATTAACCATTGCACAATGCTCAATTCGGTGTTCAAAGTTGTCAATTATTACATTTTGAATAACGTTTGGTGTTATGTTTCGAAATTCTTCCATGTTACGATTTTTCAATACTTCGATAGTGTTTGCTCTGTTCACAGACACTTTGCTTTTTAAGATAACCCCACAAAAAAATCTAATGTGGTTAAATCAAGGGAGCATGGTCGCCATACAAGTGGTCCTCTTCTGCCTATCCATCGATTAGGAAAACTTCATCAAGGTAATTTTTTACATCGAGGCGAAAATGTGAAGGAGCACCATCTTGTTGGAACCAGACATCACCAGTAATTTTTTCTAACCTTAGAAAAAATTAATTCCAGGACTGGAATCAGCTAAAAACGCAAAAAATCCATAATCCAATGCGGATTTTCTTGGCTTCAAAACCTAGTATTTTGCCTATTTATGGTTCCGTTTAAGTAAAAAGTTTCTTCGTCAGCGAAAATTATGCCATTTTTTAAGTTGGGTTGTCTTTCAAATAAATTTGATTTCTTCGCAAAACTGTAATCTTCTCTCTGTGTCATCTGCCCATAGTTCTTGTAAGACGTTGACTTTGTAAGGACTTCTGAGACTTCAGAGTTCTGTAAATTGAGGACTTTGAGAAGTTGAAGTTGGCTGAGATAGATCTAATGGATGAGTGAAGATTTTCAGTAACGGCGAGCATCACATTCTGTCGGTCATTTTCGCTTACCGTTCTTAGCCTTCCTGATTCAGGTAAATCTTTTATACTTCCGGTTTCTTCAAACTTTTTGGATACTTTAATTATTGTAGTACTAATTCTCTGGTCTGGATACTTATGCTGAAATAAATCGCATACCCCGGATTTTATCTCCGCGTCCCATCATAATTAAAATTTCAATTCTCTGTTTTTCGCTTAAACAGGCAACCATTTTTAAAAATAATTTAACAACGAAAGAATTGGAACTAAAACGATTCAC